AGCAAAGAAAAACTAAATGAATACATAAACATTAAGCCAGCATTACAAAGAATTCTAAGAGGGGGGACACAACCTGAAGAAAGCAACCAGGAACTGGGACCTGCCCCAAACAGGCATTACTCAAAGTCTAACTGAGCAAGCACAGGAGGAAAGGAAAGAAGAAAAACTTAGGAAAACGGAATGGCAGGGACAACAATGCATCTCTCTATACTTTCTCTTAATATAAATGGGCTGAATTCGCCAATTAAAAGAAAACGAACTGAGGACTGGATCAGAAAACAAGACCCATCCATCTGTTGCCTTCAGGAGACCCACCTCTCAGCCAAACATACAAACAAACTCAGAGTGAAGGGGTGGAAAAGGATCTACCAATCAAATTCCCCCAATAAGAAAGCAGGTGTAGCTATCCTGATATCTGACAAAATAAACTTTTCATTAAAATCAGTACAGAAAGACAAGGACGGACACTACATATTAATAAAGGGAACAATCCAAGAGGAGGATATAACCATCATCAACTTATATGCCCCAAATATCGGTGCACCCAGATATGTTAAACAAATGCTCTCAAACTTACAGAATAAAATAGATCCCAATACGATAATACTAGGAGACTTTAACACGCCACTCTCACCAAAGGACAGGTCTACCAACCAGAGGATTGGCAAAGAAGCTACCGAATTAAGTGAGGCCATACTTCAAGCGGAATTAACTGACATCTACCGAGTATTTCACCCTAAAACAACACAGTACACATTCTTCTCAGCAGCTCATGGAACTTTCTCCAAAATAGACCATATCATAGTTCATTCAAGGAACTTAAGCAAATACAAAGGGATCGACATAATCCCCTGTATCCTATCTGACCACAGTGGAATCAAGCTAGCTCTCAATAACAAAGCATACCGCAGAAATTTCTCTAATACATGGAAATTGAACAGCACACTCCTTAACAAGGCCTGGGTAACAGAAGAGATCAGAGAAGAAATAAAGCATTTCCTAGAACTCAATGAAAATGAAAACACCTCACAAAGAAACTTGTGGGACACAGCAAAAGCAGTCCTGAGGGGCAAATTTATTGCCCTCAGTGCCCACATCAAGAGAATGGAGACAGACCAAGTAAATAATCTCATGTTGCAACTAAAACAGCTAGAAAAACAAGAAAAAATGGGACCTAAAGCTACTAGACGAAGCCAGATAACCAAATTGAGAGCAGAGATTAACCAATTAGAAAATCAGAAAACCATAACCAAAATAAACCAAACAAAAAGCTGGTTCTTTGAAAAAATAAACAAAATTGATGGCCCGTTGGCAAGATTAATTAAAAAAAGAAGAGAGGAAACCCATATTAATAGGATTAGGGATGCCACGGGAAACATCACAACACGTACCCAAGATATCCAAACAATTCTAACAGACTACTTTCAAAAGCTATACTCTCTAAAGGAAGAAAATCTGGCGGAAATGGATGCATTTTTAGAGAAATACAAGTTACCCAAACTGAGCAAAGAAGAAGTTAACCAATTAAATAAGCCAATATCCTATAATGAGATACAGGAAGCTATCAAAAGTCTTCCAACAAAAAAAAGCCCAGGACCAGATGGATTCACAGCAGAATTCTATAAGACCTTTAAAGAAGAACTAATACCCATACTCCTCAAGCTCTTCAGAGAAACAGAGAAGGAGGGAGCTATCCCAAACTCATTCTACGAAGCCAATATCACACTCATCCCCAAACCAGGCAAAGACCCAACCAAAAAGGAGAATTACAGGCCAATCTCCTTGATGAACACAGATGCAAAGATCCTTAACAAGATTCTAGCTAACAGAATCCAGAAACACATAAAAAAAATAATACACTATGATCAGGTAGGCTTCATCCCAGAGACACAGGGATGGTTTAACATACGTAAGTCAATAAATGTAATCCAGCATATCAACAGAGCCAAGGTCAAGAATCACATGATTATCGCCACAGATGCAGAAAAGGCCTTTGATAAAATTCAACATTCATTCATGCTAAAAGCTCTGGAGAAAATAGGAATAGAAGGAACATTTCTAAAAACAATAAAAGCCATTTATGACAGACCAATAGCCAATATTATACTTAATGGGGAAAAGCTACAACCAATCCTCCTAAAAACAGGAACAAGGCAAGGATGTCCACTGTCTCCACTCCTCTTCAACATAGTCCTAGAACCCTTAGCCAGGGCAATAAGGCAAGAAAAAGACATTAAAGGGATCCGCATAGGGAAAGAAGAAGTGAAACTATCCCTTTTTGCAGACGACATGATACTATACCTCCACGATCCCAAAAACTCCATCCCCAAACTTTTAGAAATCATAAGTCACTTCGGCAAAATAGCAGGATACAAAATAAACCCACAAAAATCAGTAGCCTTCCTATACACTGATAACGCACAGGAAGAGAGGGAAATAAAGGGAGCAACCCCATTCACAATAACCTCCCAAAAAATAAAATATTTAGGAATTAACCTAACCAAAGATGTAAAAGAACTATTTAATGAGAACTATAAAAAGTTAAAGAAAGAAATTGCAGAAGACACTAGGAAATGGAAAGACCTCCCATGCTCCTGGATAGGCCGACTTAATATAGTAAAGATGGTGATACTTCCAAAATTAATATACAAATTCAATGCAATTCCTATTAAAATCCCAATGACGTACATCACTGAAATACAGAAAACAGTCCAAAAATTTATATGGAACAACAAAAGACCTAGAATAGCCAAAACAATTCTAGGGGATAAAGACAATATGGGAGGGCTATCCATGCCGAACTTCAAACTCTACTACAGAGCTATAATCACAAAGACAGCATGGTACTGGCACAAAAACAGACCCGAAGACCAATGGAACAGAATAGAAGATCCAGATATAAATCCACAGGCCTACAGCCAGCTGATATTCGACAAAGGAGCCAAAGACATACAATGGAAGAAACACAGCCTCTTCAACCGCTGGTGCTGGGAAAACTGGGCAGCCACATGCAGAAAACTAAAAGTGGACCCCAGCCTATCACCATGCACCAACATCAACTCAAAATGGATTAAAGACCTTAACATTAAACCTGAATCTCTGAAACTACTGCAGGACAGAGTAGGAGAGACACTTGAACTAATAGGCACAGGAAGGAACTTCCTGAACAGAGTCCCAGGGTCACAACAAGTTGGAGAGAGACTCGACAAATGGGACTACCTTAAAATAAAAAGCTTCTGCACAGCTAAATCTATCGCAACTAAGCTAGAAAGACAACCAACTAATTGGGAAAAAATATTTACCAGCAATATATCAGACAAGGGGTTAACATCCTGTATATACAGGGAACTCAAGAAACTAATCCCTCCCAAACCTAACAAACCAATTACTAAATGGGCAAGGGAACTAAAGAGGGACTTCTCAAATGAAGAAATAAAAATGGCAAAGAAACACATGAGGAAATGTTCATCATCCCTGGTGGTGAAGGAAATGCAAATAAAGACAACCCTGAGATACCACCTTACCCCAGTCAGAATGTCCCACATCCACAAATCAGCCAACGACAAATGCTGGAGGGGATGTGGAGAAAGAGGAACCCTATTACACTGCTGGTGGGAATGTACACTTATACAACCACTTTGGAAAGCAGTCTGGAGGGTCCTTAGAAAGCTAAAGATTGACCTCCCTTACGACCCAGTCATACCACTTCTAGGCATCTACCCTGAACAACAGGAACCAATATACAAGGACACGTGCACCTCCATGTTTATTGCAGCACTGTTCGCAATAGCTAGGATATGGAAACAACCTAGGTGCCCCACCACAGATGAATGGATCCAAAAATTGTGGTATCTATACACAATGGAATATTATGCAGCCATTAGAAATGACAAAATAATGGCATTTGCAGGGAAATGGATGGAGCTAGAAGGAATCATGTTGAGCGAGGTAAGCCAAGAACGAAGAGACAAACGGTACATGGTCTCCCTCATAAGTGGATGCTAAATCCAAAAGGTTAGTGATACGACAAAACTAACAGGACTTAAGAAACAAAGAACTCCCGCTCATCTGGTTGAACCACTACTAAATATCCTCATGCTGCTGATCACAAATATGGTATATAACATGTGAACACTGTTATATATTACAGACTGTGGTAGACAATTTGCTCCAGGGAAGTTAGAATGAACTTGTGACTTTGAAATTATGTAATCATTTAATCACAATCAAAAAAAAAAAAAAAAGAACCTCGGGGAAGGGAGGGAGGGAGGGGATGGTAGGGAAAACAATGGAGGGGGTAACAATGTTCAAGAGGAAGTGTACTCATAACCTCACTCATGTAACTGTAACCCTCTGTATAGTAGCTTTACAATAAAAAAATAAAATAAAAAAAAAAAAAAAAAAAAAAAATAAAAACCACTCAAAAACCGAAGTGGCATAGTTAAAGCGGTAGAGTGTTTGCCTTGAGCTGTAGAGTGCAAGCCCAAGCCCAGAGTTCAATCCCCATGACCAAACAAAAAACAAAAACAAAAAGAAGTGTAATCATTACCTGACTTACGTAACTACATCACCTTTACAATAAAAATGAATAAATAAAAAATATGTTCCTATAAATCTACAAGTAAACACTATGGATGGTAACTGTAACCTCTCTATACATTATCTTTATAATTAAAAAAAAAAGTGTATCTGTAGATCCCATATACCCCCAATGCTTCCATTTTGTAGACTTATTTTTTCTTCTCTGTGTAAGGCATACTTTACCACATAAAGTTTAAAATGCTATTAAAAAATAAAATTTGAAAAACAGTATCTTAGAGAACCTTGACGGGCCAAGAAAAACCTTTGTAATAAGCTTAGCTTTCTTTGCAGATCCAATAGCAGCTCTTTCAAAGAAAATGATATAGAAACTGGATTTGAAGTGAGCTTCGAGAACTCAAATGCTGACACTGGAAAATAAACAAAAATCTGGGCACAGCAGATGCCCTGCCCAGCAGATGTGAGGCTTTAGGTGAGCCTTTCATTGACCACCAAGGAAAACCAGTTTGCAAAGCCAGTTACTAAGCACAGTTGTTCTTATAATAAAATAATTCTTTTATTGAAGTTTCGAAAGTAATTTTAAACATCTCTGATTGATAACATATACACAAATGTGGGAGTATGCTGTACTTTACAAAAAAATAAAGCTAAGGGCTTAAATATACAAAAATGACTTTGGATATAGATCTCTTCTTAAAGTATTCTTTTAACATACACATAATTTATAGCATTTTACATAATGACTTGTGGAAACAAAAACTGTGGCCAATTTAAATCTTACTATTGCATAGGATATGGCCATAACAGTCCCAATGGGAAAAATAGGATGAAGAATATAACATACTTGGAGTTAGTTTTTTGTTCCCCCTGAATCTCTTTTCTAAAAAGCACAGCATTTCTCTTTCACTCAAACTTCTTTGAGGATTTAACCATTCTTTCTGTAATAACTACCACTGCTTTTGCCAGCTACAATCTGCACAAGTGAAATTAAAAAAGAAAAGAAATTGCTTTGCACATCACCTTCTTCTTTAAAGGATACACTGTATCACACTTCTCATATTGCACCAACATTCACAACAGATGCTGACAGTACCTGTTAAGTATTGAATCCAAAAGGAAGACCTAGCCTTAAAATTTTTGGTCACTAGTTAGGATTTTTAAAAACATACCAAGATGCTTAAAATACAGGTAAACTAAAAGCTTTTACAGGAGAATGAACAAACCTTCTTGGGATTTAAAACAATATGAAACAACCAAAAAAAAAAAAAAAAAACCCCTTCCTTTTGCAATCTTGTCACTAGAAAAGTTTCCTTTTTGGTTGGGTTGTGATTTGCTTCTGTCATCAAAATCTATTATTTCAGGTGTTTTGGAGTTCCAAGTGCACCCCGCCCTCCTTGGACATAAGCAGCACATTTCCTGTTTTATGATTCCATTATCATTTCCCCCTCATCAGTCTGAATGCAATGCCTCATCATTCCCTTTTAGTTTTCAACGAGGTATATAAGCAGGTTTCCCTGACAGGAAAGTCCCTCACTTGGGTGTCAGAAGTAGCGCACGGTGACATGAGCCAGAAAACTAGCACCCTCAGGCACACACTATCTCCTTTCGTCTCATTTTGACAACACTGGGGCTCAGCCCACCAAGCCACCACAGGACCTACTCTGTGGTCTGTCACCTTGAACTACAGGTGACTGTCATAGTCAGCAAAGCATCTTCTGGTTCTAGACCAGAAAGCTTAACAACTTGAGACAGGCTCAGTATAGGATGAAATATAGTTATCTTGGTAAATAAGGACTTCTTACCCCTGCATCTCAGTACAGGATGAATTAGGGAAAGACACTTCACTGTTACAGTTTGGCAAAGGAAGCAGGCAGTAACCAACACAGCCCTAACCTGCTATAATTAAGCACAAGTAGGCTAGTGCTACTGTGTCAAGTGTACTTCATGACTGATTTTCAGAAAGTGAAGCTAGACTCTAAGAACTCAATGAGCTGTATAGGTTAAAACCTGATAAAAAGCTTCTAACTGTAAACAATGGTCTTCCATATTACTATTTCCAGAAATGAGATTTCAGGCCAATAGGACAATGTTCTAGTGTCTTCTTTGGCAGTAAACAGCAAGGCTTTGGATGGAGTAGAGTAGTCACTTCAGAAGGGCAAGGTACAGGGCTCGAGAATACTTCATCTCCCTTTCTTGTTCCATACAGAATATCAAGTCCCTGAGGGAGATTCTTGTGATTCTTGGACGAAGCAACAGTTTGGTGGCTGTCAGGCTGGATGTCCCAGAAGCAAGGCCATCTTTTAAGCTCTACAAAGAAGAGGAGAGAGAGTTCAAATGAGGGCTCTTTCATCAGGGGAAGCCTAGCAATTCTAGCACACAGAAGCTCACTCTTCTCAAATGATAGACTCAAGCCTGTGCCCCAGTTGTACAGGCTACTTCACCTGGCTCATGGCCTCATTCGTTCTTCCTCGGGCAGCAGCCTCTGAACTCATCACCCCACTCTCAGGCTCTTCACTCTACTCTCTAGGCCAGACTGTTCCACTTTAATAACCTCACATAAAACTTTTCCAAATGATAGATGCGTTTATTATTTGGATCACAGTGATAATTTCATAGGTGTATGCATGCATAAAAATGCTACCAGGTTGCACACTTTAAATACGTGCAGGCATTTAGTAGGGCAACAGGAAAAATTTAAATAATAAAAGTCCTGTAAGGCTCAGATCCCACCATGGCATGGTACCCAAATCTTCAAGTGGTTTCCCACTGTCCAGATACTCACTGAAGAACTTCTGACAGCTTATGTCAAGCACTTTTCACACATTATTTCTTTCCTTTGATACAAAATTGCAGCAAGGTATTTTAGTGCTATTCCTTATCACATGAAGAGAGTTAAGAGAGCTGAAGCAATCTTTTCAAGGTCACAAAGCAAGACAGCACCAAACTCAAATTCTAACTTCATCTAAAGTGAGTGGTGTTTCTCACTATGCTACATCATGAACTTTAACATGTACATAATCACCATCTCACCACCCATTCCTCTTCTTAACTCCAGCCACACTGTTCCTCTACAAAGAGCAGCAAACAGTGACAACAAGCCATTCCGAACAATCTACCATCATGTCCCCTCAAGAATTATCCTTTGTCAACTACCTCACACTATTTGACAAGAATAATTTGCATATGCTTTAACCGTTATTTCTGTCTCCTCTAGAACTTAGTAAAATACAAAGAAAAACACCAATAATCAATAATATTTTCTGAATTTACTGGTTCAAAACAGAAAAGCCAGTATGAATTTTAAAAAAGCAATAAAACCTAATACTCTTGTATTGTTTTCTAAATACTAATGTCTATGTACTACTACCAAATAAAATTAGAAGAAATGAAAAACACTTCTCAAAGAATAATTTTACAACTCAGAAATCCTTTATTCATTCCTTTTTAATGTTTCAAAAAGCATCAGTTAAGATTGTCAACTGTCCATCCATTCAAAAGATTTATACAAGAAAAGGCATGTAACTAAAATGAAGAGTACACCTTCTTTTTTATTACTATCCTATCATCATCATTAAATTTTAATTAATCTCTGAACATTTCTTGTCTTATTTTGATGAAGGGAAGGGAAAATTCTTTAAGGTCTCCAAAATACAAAGATCAAGAATTTAATTTTATTCTGTGCATATTCATAACAAGACTTGGGGGCAAAAACTTTGTTAAAATACACATCCAAGCCAGGTGGCAGTGGCTCATGCCTGTAATCCTAGCTATTCAGGAGGCTGAGATCTGAGGATCACGGTTCAAAGCCAGCCCAGGCAGGAAAGTCCATGAGACGCATCTCCAATAAACCACCAGAAAACCAGAAGTGGTGCTGTGGCTCAAGTGGTAGAATTCTAGTGTTGAGCTGAAGAGCTCAGGGACAGTGCCCAGGCCCAGAGTTCAAGCCCCAAGACTGATTCCCCCTTTCTCCCCCCCCAAAAAAAGACACATCCAATTTCTACACTTACTAGACTAAACTTGTCCACAGGAATATAAGAAACCAACTTCAGGAAGCTCAGGTATTAGAAGAGGGAAAAAGGTTGTTCTCCATTTCACAACTGCTTGGCTACTTGTGCTGAAGTACATCTCCAGTTCTGAGCTCTAAAGGGCTCTGGGTGAAGAATGCAGTCTACACATGTACACACGGTCAGCTCTGACTATGGCTAGGTGTGGCATTCAAGTACAAGCAGGTCCATTCTTCTCTGCAGGCATTGTTACTAAGAGGTGGTACAACTTAGATGTCACCTTAACTACTGTAATTACCACCAAAATATTTTCACAGCATTTCTGCAGGATGGGCTTACCATCTGGATGGTGAATGATACAGTCACAAGACTCAGTGTACATGTGACAATGGCACTAGAAAACTTGAAGAATCAAGTGGGAATGGGCTGTATGGAGGTGGGGGAGAATGTTGAAAGCATAACACTGATCACAATGCTTTGTATACATAAATGGACATGTTGAATTGAAAAAAATCACACATTAGGAAATAGTAAACACCATTGTCATGAGAGGCAATTTTGTTGTTTACAGGAGTTAATCTGTTTAAAATTACAATACATTTAACTAGAGGCATTTTCATTAGCCATAAATCAGATATATTATTCAAAACCTCAAACTACATGTTTCCTACAGTGAGTTTGTATTTTGTATGAATTTTAAAATTAAATGGCTAGATGGCTACTATGTCTTGGCAATTTCATTTCTATGAAGATACTCAGAAATGTCACATTTTAATCAAAAGTGACGTACAAGAAAGTTTAGTATTACTACTCACAATAGCTCTAACTACAAACAATTCTAATGCCTCCTCTTTGTGGAATAAACTAGAATATTTATACCATGGAAGAAAATAGAGTAATAACAACTGGGGAGCATAGACAAATGTCACCAATGTATTGAAGAAAGGCACTCAAAAACAAAGAAATACATTCTTCATGATTCTTTTTCTGCCAAATTCCTGAAGACAAAGCTGTAAATGTCAGAATGGAGAGTTTCTCAGTCTCTCTCTCTAGGTCTCTCTGTCTCTCTCTCTGTCTCTCTCTCTGTCTCAGTCCCAGTCTCTCTCTCTCTCTCTTTCCTCCCACTCCCCACCCCCAGTCCTTCTCCCTTTCTCTCAATTCTGGGTATGAACCCAAGGTCTCAAAATTACTAGGCAGTCAACTCCAAATGAATCAAAGACCTCAAAGTCAAAACAGACACCCTGAAAGCAGTACAGGAAGGAATAAGAGAAACTCTAGGGCTCCTTGGCATAGTACAAAATTTTCTTAATAGAAACCTAGAAACACAACAAATCAAAGAAAGGTTGGACAAATGGGATTGCATGAAACTGCAGAGCTTCTGCATAGCAAAGGACATAGCTAGCAAGATCAATAGAAAGCCCATGGATTGGGAGAAGATCTTCACTAGCCATACAATGGACAAGGCTCTCATATCTAAAATATACTTGGAACTCAAAAAATTAAATCCCCCAACAACAAATCCTCAAAGAAACAACTGCCCAATAAATAAGTGGGCTAAAGACTTAAAGAGAAACTTCTCTGAAGAAGAAAGAAGGATGGCCAATAGACACATGAAGAAATGCTCAACTTCTCGAGCCATAAAAGAAATGCAAATCAAAACAACATTGAGATTCCACTTCACCCCAGTTAGAATGGCTATAATCAAGAACTCTAATAACAACAGATGCTGGAGGGGATGTGGCCAAAAGGGAACCCTACTACATTGTTGGTGGGAGTGTAAACTTGTTCAATCACTTTGGAAAACAGTATGGAGGTTCCTCAAAAGACTCCACATAGAGCTCCCCTATGATCCAGCAATCCCACTTTTGGGCATTTACCCAAACGATCACAAACAAGGCCACAGTAACAATGCCAGCACAACTATGTTTATCACAGCATTATTTACCATAGCTAAGATATGGAACCAACTCAGACGCCCCTCAGTAGATGAATGGATCAAGAAAATGTAGTACACACACACACACACACACACACAATGGAATTCTATGTTTCCATCAGAAACAATGACATTGCCCCATTTGTTAGGAAATGGAAAGACTTGGAAAAAATTATATTAAGTAAGCCAGGCCCAAAGAAACATAGGTCCCATGGTTTCCCTTATTTGCAATAACTAGTATATGTCTGAGACAAGCAAAAAAGGTCAAAAGCTATGTACATATGACCATATAAGATGATGTTAAGTGAAATGAACCCCAAGACAGGGACACAAGTGGTCTTTTCTTTCTTGCTATTGCTTTTAACATATTTATAATGTACTATGTGATTTTTAAATTTCTTTTGTATGTTCTTCCCCCATGGCATAACCTGTTTTCACTGTATTTGACATCAGTTCCCTTCATCTTGTATATGCATTTTTCTAATTTGGGGAGGGGAAGGGAAAAAACAAAATGCTTAAATAGAGATACAGGTTGGCCCACTGTAACAATGAGATGTACAAGACACTATGTTGAAAATGAACTTTACAACTTTGTGCATGGGGGGGGGGGGAGTTGGGGAGGCAGGAAGGGAAGGGATGATGGGGGAAAACAAAGGAGGGGGTAAGAATAGGAAATGTACTCATTACCTTACTCATGTAACTATAACCCCTCTGTACAGTATCTTTACAATAAAATATATATATTAAAATATAAAAAAATTGCTAGGCAGGTATTCTACTAAAGTGGTACCTCCATCATTGGCTATTTTGTGTGTGTGTGTGTGTGTGTGTGCGTGCGCACACACACATACTAGTAATGGAGCTTGAACTCAGGGCCTGTGTGCTGTCTCTGAGCATTGTTTTGCTCAAGTCTTGTGTTCTTCCACTTGAGCCACAGCTCCACTTCCATTTTTTCCCCTTGTTTTGTGGTGCTTAACTGGAGATAAGAGTAACACAGACTTTCCTGCCTAGGCTGGCTTCAAACCATGATCCTCAGATCTCAGCCTCTTATTCATGAGACTTAAGATTCCAGGTGTGAGCCACCAGTGACTGGCAGTGTCAGCTTTTTTTGTTGTTGTTGATTTGGGGACTTAACTCAGGGCCTGGACACTATCCCTGAGCCTCTTGGTGCTCCTAGTGCTCAACCACTTGAGCCACACTGCCACTTCCAGTTTTTGAGTGGTTAATGGAGATAAGAGTCTCTGGGGACTTTTCTGCCCAGCTGGCTTCAAACCGAGATCCACAGATCTTAGCTAGGATTACAGGCATAAGCCACTGGTGACCAGCTAAGTGCTAGTTATTTTTATGGTAGGATCTTGCTTCATGCT